CTCTCGATGCCTGGCTCCTGTGAGAAGTGAGGCTGAGAGAGCGGGCAGAGGGGCAGTGACGGGTGATGGCAGCTTGGCAGGTCTCAAGGGGCCCAGGCAGGATGGCTGTAGAGCCAGCCGTGGTCCATCCATAGGAAGAAAGCCTGCAGGCCCCTCGGGGTCTGCTCCCTGCTCACCCAGGGCTGATACAGCCAGCTTAAGGGACAGGGTCGCAGGCTGGGCATGGAGGCTCATGCCTGTACTCCCAACACTTCAGGAGGCCAAGGCAGGAGGATTGCTTGAGGCCAGGAGCCCAAGACCAGCCTGGGCAACATAGAGAGACCCCGTCTCTACAAAAAATAAATAAAGAGGCAGGGTCACACCCACACCACAGGCCAGGACAGCAGCCCCCAGAAAACCAAGCTCCAATCACACCTCAGCTCTTCCTGCTGAGCCCGGGGGCCTGCTGAGCCCCGGAGCCTGGGTCCGAGGGCAGAGGTTGGGGCAGGGAGAGTGAAGAACTGAATGGAGCCTGACCCAGCACTCTTCCCTCCTAAGGATGGCGCCTGGTGGAGACATCAAGCACGAGAGAAGGGGTGATCCTAGGAGGGCTCCCTGGTGGAGGTGGTGCCTGCAGGAGGTCTTGAGGACCCAGGTCTGATCCGAGGGTCAACAGCCCGGTGAGTGCAGAGGCTGCCGGAGAAACTGGAGGAATGAAAAATCTTTGCCTGAGGAAAGGAGCTCCTACCTCCCCAGAAAGTCCCTCCGTGTGAACCAGACTGTTGCTGGCGCGCAGTGTGCACCTCCCAGGGCTGGCTGAGAAGTATTTGCTGAATGAATGGAACAGATTGCATCTGTGCAGCCTCCCTCCGTGGGCTAAGAATGAAGACGTGATAGAGAAAACAGAAAAGAAGACAGAAAGCAGAACGGTCTCCACTGTGCTTTTCCAGAACCCTCCGAAGGACCAAGAGGGCTCCAGAGCATCTGGGACCTGGCCCCAAACCCAAGTCCAGCTGTGGGGGGCCCAGCCACAGCCCGGGAGCCCTCACCCCATCCCTAAGAGCATTTGGTGGGACCTCCTGTGGCTATAATCCAGCAGAGCAGCACTGCCTGGGGGTCTCCGAGCCAAACCCAGGCCATGAGCCCCCATCCCTGCCAGTGCCTGGGGGTGAATCAGGCCCTGAACAGTGGTAAGTGTCAAGCCAGGGGGCCGCTGGGCCAGACCAGAAGTAGGGACAGGCCCTGGGGAAGGGGGATGTCTGGAACCTCAAACTGGTTGGCATCCAGCTCCTCCTGCTTCCCATGCCAGGGTGCCCTGAAACCCTGCCGGTGTCTGCCCCGAACACCTTGCCTACCCCCTCAGCCTACGTCCCAGCAGTGGGGACCAGGCTTGGTGACCCTGGTCCATCCTGCAGACCCCCAGCCAGGGCGCAAGGCTAGGCAGGCCAGCCCGGGGCCACGTGCTCCCGACTGCTCCACACACGGGCCGGTGGGGCCCTCCCCTCCAGCAGCTGAGGTCAGCACAGGCAGGTGCCTGGTGGATCTAGTGGAGGGCGACAGACAAGAACGTGGGGCATGTGGCCGGCACACACTGCCCAGGGCTGCTGGAGGGCTAGCCCCATCTCTGTCCACCCCCTGCCTCCCGCCTAGGTGGGGCAGTCTGTCTGGGGAGGAAGCAAGGATGGCCACGGGGCGGGCACACTGGAGGCCCGGGGTGAGTACTGGGCAGGCCGGCCCCCGTCCGGCTGCTGCCTGGATCCACTCTTGGTGTAAGGCTCTCGGTGTAAGGCTGAGAGGCCGGCTTTACCCTGGAATCTGAAGCCTGGTGGGGAGGTGGCCCCTCCTCCTCCCTCTGTCCCCGCCTCCTGTACCTCCATGCCCCTCCCCAGACACACGCCCCTCAGGCTCCGCCCCACCTGGCACCTGCCCCCGTGGGTGCCTCCTCCCAGAAGCCTTCAGGGTTACTCCAGGTCTTCCCATTGCCTGTGCTGTTCCCGGAGCTGCTGACCATTGTTCCAGGTAGTTTATGCTCTCACCCCTAGGGCAAACACAGCCCCGACCCTCCTGGAGCCCTGGGCCCTCTTCCCCTGCAGAAGGTCGGAAAGAGGCGCCCGGTGGAGGGGCTGAGCCGTGCAGGTGGGCTCAGGGAGCCTAGTCCTGGCGGAGGAGTCTGGGCCCTACGAGGACGAGGACGGAGATGGGGACAGGGACGGGACGGCCCTCTCTATTGACTCCCTGGAGTCCTCCAGATCCAGGGCAGCTCCTGGGGAACTGGTGCCTGCTGGAGAAACTAACCCAGATTTGATCAGATGCTGGGGCTGGGATCCAGTGAATGTGGGCGCGCCCCTGTGTCCCGGGTGAGGAAGGATGGGGGCTCCCAAGAAGCAGGCAAGGGATGCATGCGTGTGCGTGCGTGGGTCTATGTGCCTGTCAATGTACACGACTGTGTGCATCCGGGTATGTCTGTGCGTGTCTCTCTGGGCTATGTGTGTGTGCACATGCGTCTGTGAGTCTGTGGGTGTGTCTGAGGGTGTTTGGTGCGAGCTGTGAGAGAGGTATTAGGAGGAAACTGACAGTGTCCCCTTCCGCCCTGCAAGGGACAGGTCAGGGTGGGAGAAACAGTCCCTCCCTCCACAAAGCCCTGAGCCAGGGCAGGGGTCGAGAATTGCTCTAGAGGCAGACCCCCCTTCCCCTGGGTCTGGGCACGAATCACTGTCACTTGCTGCCCGCACGCCTTTCCATACACACTCACTCACACACCCACACTCGCACTCACACACACACTCAACACTCATCCCACACCCCCCCACACACACTCATCCCACACACACTCAAATACACACTCATCCCACACACACTCATCCCACGCACTCAACACTCTCACACACACACACTCAACACTCACACACTCATCCTATGCACACACACACTCATCACACACAAACACAGGCTCATCCCCCCACACTCACACACATCCCACACACTCAACACTCATACACTCATCCCACACATACACTCACACACTCAACACTCATCCCACACACATACTCAATGCACACTCAACACATTCATCCCACACACACACACTCATCCCACACACTCAAATACACACTCATCCCACACACTCAGCACACACACATTCATCCCACGTGCATACACATTCATCACACACAAACACACGCTCATCCCCCACACACTCACTCATCCCACACACACACACACTCATCCTCCAAACACACTCATCCCACACAGACTCAACACTCACACATTCATCCCATACACACACACTCATCTCATACACACACACTCAACAAACACACTCATCCCACACACACTCACACACTCATCCCACACACACTCATCCCACAAACACACAAAGACTCACACTCACATTCATACTTCCCTCCATTCCACACACACACTCACACTCAAACACATACACACTTCCCTTCAATTCTACACACACACTCAAACACATACTTAGACATTTCCCCCTTCCACACACACACACACACTTCCCCTCAATTCCACACACACATACACACTTCCCCATTCTACACACACACTCACTCTCACACACACACTTCCCCTCAATTCCACACACAAAACACTTCCCCCATTCCACACTCACACACTCACACATACACACTTCCCCCATTCCACACACACACTCACTCTCACACACACTTCCCCCTCAATTCCACACACACACACACACTGCCCCATTCCACACTCACACACTTACAAACACATACACATTTCCCCCATTCCACACACACACCTCCCCCTCAATTCCACACACACACACACACACACACACTGCCCCATTCCACACTCACACAATCACAAACACGTACACACTTCCCCATTACACACACACACGCCTCCCCCTCAATTCCACAAACACACACTCACACTCAAACAGTACACACTTCCCCCATTCCACACACACACACTCTCACACACTTCTCAATTCCACACACACATACACTTCCCCCATTCCACACACACAC